GACACCTGGGACACCTTGGGGACACCTGGGACACCCTGGGGACACCTTGGGGACATCTTTGGGACACCCTGCAGACACCTGGGACACCCTGGGGACACCTTGGGGACACCCTGGGGACACCTGGGACACCCTGGGGACATCTTGGATACCTTGGACAGGCCTTTGAGGACACTTTGGACGGGACCTCGAGCAACGCGGTCTCCTGGAGAACGTCCACACAGATGGGACTGGATGGTCCTTGAGGACCTTCCCAAACAAGTGCCAAAGGTCTCCCCTGAGCTTCCCAACTTTCCTTTCCCCTTCCAGGACCTGTTTTTGGCAGCAAGGACAACTTCCTGGGGCTGGGAGTGTTCGTGGACACGTACCCCAACGAGGAGAAGCAGCAGGAGGTGAGAGCTCTTCATCCTCGGAGCTCCTCCTCCTCCTCCTCTTCCCGTTCCTTTTCCACAATTTTTTTGGTCAGGGAAATTGGGAGAGGATTTCCCAGCTGAGCTGGCGGTGCCACGTCCACCAGGAGTAGGGTGTGAGTGAAGCTGGAGTAGAAGCTGAGGAGAGGTCGAAAAGTTGGCGCGTTTCTCGGGGTTTTTTGGTGTCGTTCGTGGGGAAAAAATCCAGCTGGAGGGGACAAATGGCACCGCTTGGGTAGGGACAGGTGCCACTGTGCCAAGGTGCTCCAAGCCCTGTCCTGCCTGGTCTTGGAGAAGGTCAAAAAGGGCTCCAAAAGGTCATAAAGACCTCAAAAAATGGTGAAAAGAGCTCCAAAAGGTCATAAAGATCTCCAGAAAGGTCAAAAAGGGCTCCAAAAAGTCATAAAGATCTCCAGAAAGGTCAAAAGATCTCCAAAAGGTCATAAAGATGTCAAAAAATGGTGAAAAGAGCTCCAAAAAGACAAAAAGTCTCCAAAAATGTAAAAAGAGCTTCAAAAAAGGTGAAAATATCTCCAAAAGGTCATAAAGATGTTCAAAAATAGTGAAAAGGGCTCTAAAAGGTCCTAAAGATCTCCAAAGAGGTCAAAAAGGGATCCAAAAGGTCTTAAGATCTCCAGAAAGGTCAAAAAGAGCTCCAAAAAAGACAAAAAATCACCAAAAAGGTCAAGGAAGCTTCAAAAAAGACAAAAAGTCTCCAAATGGGTCCAAAAGAGCTCCAAAAAAGGTGAAAGATCTCCAAAAAGGTCAAAAAGAGCTCCAGAAGGAGCCTCCAAAAGGACAAGAAGACTCTAGAAGGTCCAAAAGAGCTCCAGGAAGGAGAAGAAGGAAATTTCCCAGGATTTTGGGTCCTGCTGGACGCAGTTCCGGGGGGAATTTCCTGGGATTTTGGGCCCGGCTGGACTCGGTTCCAGGGGGAATTTCCCAGGATTTTGGGTTTTGCTGGACTCGGTTCCAGGGGGAATTTCCTGGGATTTTGGGTCCTGCTGGACTTGGTTCCAGGGGGAATTTCCTGGGATTTTGGGCCTGTCTGGACGCGGTTCCAGGGGGAATTTCCCAGGATTTTGATCCCAGCTGGACTCGGTTCCAGGGGGAATTTCCTGGGATTTTGGGTCCTGCTGGACGCGGTTCCAGGGGGAATTTCCTGGGATTTCGGGCCCGGCTGGACTCGGTTCCAGGGGGAATTTCCCAGGATTTTGGGTCCTGCTGGACGCGGTTCCAGGGGGAATTTCCCGGGATTTCGGGCGTGCTGGGCTCCGTGACCGTGTCGCTCTCTCTTGCTTTGTGCTAATCCTGGAGGGCAGGCTCAGAAGAGGAGGTACAGCCCTGGAAACCAGGTACTGCCTCTGCCCTCCCACCCGGAATTCCCCGT